TTAAATGCCTGGCAAGAAATGATTGAAGAAACCTCAAATCGCATTAATGAACTGTCAGGGAGGCGCCGAACTGCTCTGCAAACCTACTGTGCGACAAGACCGTTGAACAGTACCCCATTTAAGAATATTATAAATAGCAGCTCACTTCATTTATTTTGGGTTGTTGAATGCCCAACGAACTCTAGTTTCTTTCTACCTTCTCTCTCTAAAATTGTAAGAAACCTCTTATAAGAATCGTAAGTATATCGCAAGTGCCGACCTCGTACGAGAGGCCGACCTCGTGATCGTCTAATAAATCATAATTAAATCATATCTTTCCTTTGTTTTCCAGTCCTACACTTTCAACATTTTCCATTTTAACCGTTGACTGAAAACGCTCGTCAACACCACTTCTGCTCCCTCTTCAACCATTCCTCCTTCTACCTCTCAGCCTGGTACTTCAAACTCTCCTTCCAAGAAAACCTCGACCAAAAACCCCCCAGAACTTCCACTAAGCGCCCTTCTCTCTCCCATGTTTGGTATTCTCCCGAGAAGATCGGCCACCCCAGCGGTTGGTCGTTTCTCAGCTCTTCCTCCACTGACAAATACGATCATCCACCCAAAGACTGTTATACTTTCTTCGAGATTCAATTTAAACTTGGCCTCCGTTTTCCCCTGAATCCCGAGCTACTTCGCATTTGCGAGTGGTTCTCACTTCCTCTGCATCAACTCCCCCTCAACGCCATTCGCTTTATGACCACTTTTATCATCCTTTACCGCGTCCGCTTAGGTCAGTTCGACCTAGCCTTCTTTCATTACTGTTATGTCCCTTCCAAACAAGGTCGAGGCCTCTACCTTAAAAGCCGCAACGGCACTTACTTCATCAATGACATTCCTTCCAACCTCCCTAAGTGGAGTGACAAATTCATTTTTTTTCAGCCTACTGTCCCTTTCCCTTGGCCCTCCATTCCTTGGGTCAAGGAGGTTTCTCAAGAGGTGGCCTCAGCTCCTCCTCCAAGCCCCCTCTTCGACCAACGGATCCACATTTGGAATTCCAAGTCCGTTGCGTCCGAAGTACTTCTTAAGGACGATAATCTTTTTCATTACTGCGGTATTCTTACCCACAAGACTTGTCCTCTTCCCAGTGATGAGATCCTCGATCTCATCCGGATCGAGAATGAGCCAGGTAATCTTCGACCAGGTTATTCAGATGTTTCGACACCCTTCTGTGTTTGTTTTGATTATTCTATGTTATTGTTGGTTATAATCTTCTTACTACTTTCCTGCAGAGGTGCCCAGTTTCAATGTTCCCCCGAGGAAGACCCCTCTGAAA